CGTCTACGACTCTTTGTGACCTCATGGACCAGCCCACGCCAGAGCTCCCTGTCGGCCGTCACCACCCCCAGCTCCTTCAAGGTCAGTCCAGTCACTTCAAGGATGCCATCCATCCATCTTGCCCTTGGTCGGCCCCTCTTCCTTTTACCTTCCACTTTCCCCAGCATAATTGTCTTCTCTAGGTTTTCCGTATTAGCTGGTGTTTATGTGGAGCAGGACTCCATCTCCTGTTGTAGCCCAGCAAGCGCCAGAGGATTTTTCAGAGGATGAGGAGGATGATGGGTTTCAAAATGAGGAGTCTGTGAGTGATCGAGGAGTCTGTGAGTGTGTGGATGGGGTCCTACTATCAGAGAAATACTGTACATATGTCATTTTGACATGACCCAATATCTTCAAGAATTGGGTTGTTGTAGGTTTTTCAGGCTATATGGCCATTTTCTAGAAGCATTATCTCCTGACGTTTCACCTGCATCTATGGCAAGCATCTTCAGAAGTTGTGAGGTCTGGCCTCACAACCTCTGAGGATGCTTGCCATAGATGCAGGAAAAACGTCAGGAGAGAATGCTTCTAGAACATGGCCATATAGCCCAAAAAACCTACAACAACCCAGTGATTCCAGCCATGAAAGCCTTTGACAATATATCTTCAGGAATTGTTGTTTTTCTCAGTTCAAGAAAATTTACGTTTTATCCACATTTTCACACATTTACTCTATCAATCCAACCCTGATGCCAAAAAAAAAACAAAACCCAAAAAACTATAGTAACTATATCGGATTTTTTTTTGTCATGTCAGGAGTGGCTTGAGAAACTGCAAGTCGTTTCTGGTGTGAGAGAATTGGCCATCTGCAAGGACGTTGTCCAGAGGATGCCCGGATGTTTTGATGTTTTTATCATCCTTGTGGGAGGCTTCTCTCGTGTCCCCGCATGAGGAGCTGGAGCGGATAGAGGGAGCTCATTCGCGCTCTCCCTGGATTCGAACCTGCAACCTATCGGTCTTCAGTCATGCTGGCACTGCGCCACCGGGGGCTCCTATATCGGATGAAAAGCACTCACAGTCGTACACCAGAGCAGGAACATCTCTGACCTTAAACCTCACACCAGCTTGGTTAAATCAGCAAGCAGTTTATAGAAGAATATAAGTAGATAAAGCAGTGAAATTAGCAAAAACAGTAAAGTTCCAAAACAAAGGTTAGTCCATGAGCTTAAAGGCAGAACAAGATCCATAGGTATAAAAATCCATGAAACAGGCACAAGAATCCATGAAACAGGGCAACATGAAAAATCCAATACACAAATCAGGAGCTTGGCAAAAACTTGGTACATGAAACTAAGAACACTTGGAAGCAAGATTGTCATGAATTTCCAATGTTGACCCAACTGAGGCATCTCTTTCCCATGAATCAATATAAGACTTTTCCAGATCCCAAAACCGAAAGGAAAGCATTTCTCTTGACCTTACCACCACATATAGGTTTCTTATCTTTCTTTTCCTGTAAACAAACTGATCTTCTTTGTGCCTGAGCACTCTGTCTCTGTTTACAAAAGTCTTGACTTCTATCTACACTCTCATTAACTTGACTCTCATTAACTTCTGCACCTGACAAATCATCTTCAGACAGTTGCTCTGAGAAAGACTGTGAAGGGCCCAAGAATGTGACGTTGTGAATCTTCCTAAGACAGCTCGGGCCTCTCGTTTGAGCTTAACTTGGGCCCAGGAAAACCCTCATCCCCACTGCCAACAGACCCAGGCCCACCATCAGGAACATTATCCCCATTCCCATCATGAACATCAGACACAATCAGAGGCTGAACAGGCTGACATACAACACTCACATTCATTGTTTTCCATGAAACGGAATGGTACCCTTCATGGCTTTTCCACATTCCCTCTGTTCTCTGTTAATATCTGTTGCAATATAAGTCTTTTACAATATAAATCTAAGAGAGTATCTGGGTTGTTGTAGGTTTTTTCGAGCTATATGGCCATGTTCTAGACATTCTCTCCTGATGTTTCGCCTGCATCTATGGCGAGCATCCTCAGAGGTAGTGAGGCGAAACATCAGGAGAGAATGTCTCTAGAACATGGCCATATAGCCCCAAAAAACCTACAACAACCCAGTGATTCCGGCCATGAAAGCGTTCGACAATACATTAAGACAGTATCCTTTTGAAAGTGCAAGGGGAATTGATCTGAGGATGTGCAGTCACTGTGAATTACTAGGCAGATCTCTTGAAAATGTTTGATCAAAAATTTATATCCTTGGGATATTTCTTGACAAGTTTTTAATATGGGAATATGGATTTCTTTTTCCCCACAGGGAGTTGTTCCGGGAACTCTGAATCTTGAATCACTCTAAATGTTGAGTTAGTGAGTGAACTCCCTTCTAACATTTAAAGCCTGACAAAGGATACACTCGTTCACAAGTTTTATTGGGTGTTGTTTATTCGTTCAGTCATTTCCGACTCTTTGTGACCTCATGGACCAGCCCATGCCAAAGCTCCTTGTTGGCTGTCACCACCCCCAGCTCCTTCAAGGTAAAGCCAATCACTTCAAGCATAACATCGATCCATCTTGCCCTTGATCGGCCCCTCTTCCTTTTTCCTTCCATTTTCCCCAGCATCATTGTCTTCTCTAAGCTTTCCTTTCTTCTCATGATGTGGCCAAAGTACTTCATCTTTGCCTCTACTATCCTTCCCTCCAATGAGCAGTTGGGCTTTATTTCCTGAAGTATGGACGGGTTGGATCTTCTGGCGGTTAGAAGAATTAGACCTAAGAGTTATTTAAGAACGGTTATGAATGTAACCTTTGAAGATCTGTACCACTAAGAGAAAGGACACTTTGAAACCATCAAGCTTCTGTACCTCACTAAACTTGTTACAGTTACCTTTTAAAGCCAAGCCTGTGTTACCATTCTTTTCCAAGTCAAGTCACGCTACATATTGAAGAAAGACTAAACCCACATTACAAGGTATTGGTTGTGTCATCAATTTAATAAGCCCTCACAAAGAGGTGGCTTCTTTTACCAACGCTCTACATATATATTTATACATCCTTACAATTTGGCAAGATCATTGCAAACTAGTGGCCACGCCTTTACAATTAGTAGCAGTAATATACGGGACTCCTTCACATTGAATAGGTTGGGTGAGAGGATACAACCCTGCCGTATTCCTTTCCCAATCTCGAACCAGTCTGTTGTTCCGTGGTCAGGCCTGGCAAAAAAGTCCCTATTTGATGCAGCGGCAAAAAAGCCAATGGGATTTTGGCCTGCATTTATAGGAGTCTAGTGTCTAGATCCAGGGAAGTCATGCTCTCCCGTTATTCTGCCTTGTTTAGACCACACCAGGAATACTGTGTCCAATTCTGGGCACCACAATTGAAGAGAGATATTGACTCTAAGCTGGAATGTGTCCAGAGGAGGGTGACTAAAATGATCAAGGGTCTGAGAACAAGCCCTATGAGGAGCAGCTTAAAGAGCTGGGCATATTTAGCCTGAAGAAGAGAAGGCTGAGAGGAGACATGATAGCCACGTATAAATACGTGAGAGGAAGTCATAGAGAGGAGGGAACAAGCTTGTTTTCTACTGCCCTGGAGACTACGACTCGAAAGGAGATTCCATCTGAACATGAGGAAGAACTTCCTGACTGTGAGAGCCGTTCAGCAGTGGAACTCTCTGCCCGGAGTGTGGTGGAGGCTCCTTCTTTGGAAGCTTTTAAACAGAAGCTGGATGACCATCTGTCAGGAGTGCTTTGAATGCAATTTTCCTGCTTCTTGGCGGAATGGGGTTGGACTGGATGGCCCATGAGGTGTCTTCCAACTCTATAATTCTATTTCTTACACATCCTTAAGCCCCGCCCTGAGGCTATATCATTTACATATTTAGCCCCACCTTCTTCCTAAACCACCCCTGAGCCACGCCTCCCGAGCAAAGAGGCACGCCCACTTGGCCGTTTTCTCCTCCCAGAGAGACAGAGAGAATGAGTGTGTTGATAATCCCCGCCCCCTCACGCCCATTGGCCAGAGTAGCCCATTCATTTACATATGTAGCCCCACCTCTTTCAAGTCTTAAACTAACCCTTAGCCACGCCTCCCGAGCAAAGAGGCACGCCCAGACAGAGAGAATGAGTGTGTCTTGATAATCTCCGCCCCCTCACGCCCATTGGCCAGAGAGGCCCATTCATTTACATATGTAGCCCCACCTCCTTCCCAGTTCTTAAACTAACCTTTAGCCACGCCTCCCGAGCAAAGAGACACGCCCACCTGGCCACTTTGCCCTCTCCTTAAAGGAGAGTGAGTGTGTGTTGATAATCCCCGCCCCCTCACGCCCATTGGCCAGAGTGGCCCATTCATTTACATATGTAGCCCCACCTCCTTCCCAGTTCTTAAACTAACCTTTAGCCACGCCTCCCGAGCAAAGAGACACGCCCACCTGGCCACTTTGCCCTCTCCTTAAAGGAGAGTGAGTGTGTGTTGATAATCCCCGCCCCCTCACGCCCATTGGCCAGAGTAGCCCATTCATTTACATATGTAGCCCCACCTCCTTCAAGTGCTTAAACTAACCCTTTAGCCACGCCTCCCGAGCAAAGAGACACGCCCACCTGGCCACTTTGCCCTCTCCTTAAAGGAGAGTGAGTGTGTGTTGATAATCCCCGCCCCCTCACGCCCATTGGCCAGAGTAGCCCATTATTTACATATGTAGCCCCACCTCCTTCCAAGTTCTTAAACTAACCCTTAGCCACGCCTCCAGGGCAAAGAGACACGCCCACCTGGCCACTTAAAGGAGAGTGAGTGTGTGTTTTGCTCATCCCCGTTCCCTCACGCTCATTGGCCAGAGAGGCCCTTTCTGCGAGTGGGCCCCGCCCCCTCGAGGTTGTGCGCGCAGGCGCAGAGGCTTCCCAGTTTCCAAGGCACGAGAGAGGGCGGCGACAAGCCACTCCCCCTCGACGCCTATTGGCCGGGAAGCGGGCCGCGTCCCCCTCGCGAGGGTTGGCGCAGGCGCAGACGCGTCCCTCAGAAGGGAGTGACAGAGGCACAGGCGGGACGTCATTCTCGTCAGCGCGCGTTGTTGTTGTTGTCGTCGCCGTCCTCGTCGCCGCGCCTCTGGCTTTCCCTCAGGAGCCGCGGGGCCCCGGCCATGCTCCCTCCGCCAGGCCCACCGCGGTCTTGGGAGCCGGAGCGGCGAGGCGAGGAAGAAGGGGAAGGGGAAGGGGAAAGGGAGGGAGGCTCGGGGCCTTGGCCTCGGCCATTGCGGTGATGAGAGGATGGACGCCGACGAAGTGAGCATCCGCGAGCAGAACTTCCACAGCCAAGTCCGCGAGTACACGGTGCGTAGGGGGAGTCTCATCATAATATCCCAGTATTCATAATATTTAATGTTATTAATATTAATTATCATAATAATAATCTATTATTAACTGTGGACCACATGGGGGTTCTGTGTGGGAGGTCTGGCCCAATTCTATCGTTCAGAATGCTCTTTGATTGTAGGTGAACTATAAATCCCAGCAACTACAACACCCAAATGTCAGGATTCTATTTTCTCCAAACTCCACCAGTGTTCACATTTGGGCATATTGAGTATTTGTGTAGAGTTTGGTCCAGATCCATCATTGTTTGAGTCCATCATCCTCATCATCACCACTTTATTTCTTAATTAGTCACTCTCCACCAAGGTGCTCCGAGCGACTTACAATTTAAAACAGTTTATACACAATATAAAACATTCAATATAAAAACATTCAACATAAAAACATTCAACATAAAAACATTCAACATAAAAACATTCAGCAGTGACTATGGCAAAATTTGATCCGGTTACTTAAATGCACAACCAAACAGCCAAGTCTTGAGCGCCTTTGCGAAAGGCCTCAACTCCAACATTGCTCTAATATATGGAGGCAATGAGTTCCACAGAATTGGAGCATAGATCGAAAAAGCTCTACGCCTTGTAGCTTCCAAATGTGCCTCCATATGTCCACAGTGATCTTTGGAGATAGGTGAACTACAACTCCAAAACCAAAGATCACTGTTAATCTGTGCCAGAGAACAACAGAGAAGAAACAACCAGGCACAGATTAACACCTCCCAGCAAGAGATTTTCCCAGGCTCAGGCAGGCCTTCAAATGCTAATGAAGGTGATCAGCTGAAACATTCACACCTAACTGCAGCAGGGAAGAGCTCCTTGCCCCACCCCAGCCATTCCACAGATATATAAACCCATTTTTCCTACTTCCAACAGACCTCACTACCTCTGAGGATGCTTGCCATAGATGCAGGCGAAACGTCAGGAGAAATGCCTCTAGAACATGGCTCTATAGCCCGAAAAAACCCACAAGAACCTAGTGATTCCAGCCATGAAAGCCTTCGACAATACAATAAACGTCAACATCAGCATCAATTTACAGGAACGACTAATGATTCATTAAAATATGTAGGTGGATTATGTGACCATTGATCTTCACTGGACTATCAGGATCTACAAAGCCCAAGTACAACAACAGTTTTCAATCAGAGGTGATACATCATTTAATCCTCCTCCTCTACATATGCTAATGAGCAAAGGTAGTTTTCATTTGGTTTTTGAAGGAGAAAAGGGAGGAGGGTGTCTTTATTTCTTTAGGGAGCGAGTTCCAGAGGTGGGGAGAAGGCCCTTTCTCTCGTTCCCACCAGCCAAGCTTCAGATGTGGGTGGGACCGAGAGTATTATGGATATTATTATTAATATTTATACATAATGATAAAAAAATCCACAAAGGGACCCAAATGTATGACATATTAAATGTCATACAAAGTAGCAGCAATCAAATGCATATATAACAGTCAATAAACATAAATAAGCATTTTAAAAACAACATAGGTTAACATAGGTTATATTGCACTTCGCTCCAGTTGATAAAATTAACATTCCTAACACTTCAGTCTAGGTTTCTTCGCAGAAGGCTGGCCTAAAAATTATTATTTTTGTGTCATTTAGTTATTATTATTATTACTATATTTATTATTGCTTAATTTAATGACTTTATGTTAGCTGACCCTGATTATTTCATGTCAGGAATTCCCCTACCTTTGGGTGTACCCAAACACCTTCCAACAAAGGATTCCCCCAGGCAGGAAGCAGCCAGGCTTTAAAGCTGCAAGGCCATTAAATGCTAATAAAGGTGGCTAATTGCAACATTCACACTTGCCTCAAACAGACAAGAGTTATTTCTCCCACTCTGGACATTCCACAGACATATAAACCTCACTTGCCTAGCAAACTGACCTCACAAACTCTGAGGATGCCTGCCATAGATGTGGGTGAGAATGCTTCTGGAACATGGCCATACAGCCCGGAAAACCTACAGCAACTCAGTCATTCTGGCCATGAAAGCCTTTGATAACATAATTATATTTTGTTTTTCTGATCATTCTGGGCCTATTTCCATAGTATCTGAAAGACCATATCTTCAGATCTTCTGGCAAGGCCCCTTTCTCTATCCAAGGTACATCTGGTGGGAGCATACAAGAGAGATTTCTTGGCAGTTACTCCTCTCTCTGTATTTCTCTTTGTAGAGGTTACATTCTTGCTGTTTTCTCACAGGTAGATGAAGCCTTTTTCAGTTTGGCAGGCCTTTGAAGACACTTTAAGGCTTATTGTGTAGTGTTATCCGGTGTTTTTTTTTAACTGATTATGTTTTAATTGGTTTTAAGGTATTGATAGTTTAAATACATTTTGTTTTGTTTTTTAATTATTTTTTCATTATATGTCAATTGTTGTAAACTGTGTTTAGTCCTAGAAAAAAGTGTTGACTGTCTGTCATTTGACTCAAGAAAGCTTAGTCTCTCTTCTTCCAGATATCTGTTCATGGAGTGGATTCATAGGTGAGAAAAAGGCTTGCCAGGCAAGTTGTGGTTTCTAGGTTCCTAAGTATGTACTATTTTGTATTATATTAGCTTCTTCCTCACATCCAGGTTATAAGCTTATGAATTACACTTGTCTAGACAATTGCTAGACAGGTATGTATTTGTGTTTGATTGAAGATTGCATGCATGTATTTCAGTCACATACTGGTGACATGCATCATGCATGCCTGTGGTATATATTAAACAGAAGAGTGTGTACTTAATTATCTTGTCATGGATTGACATAAAAACAAGGAAGGAGCAGTCTGCAAATGTTTAGGGAGGCAATTCCAAGCTTATGGAGAAATGAATAAAAAAAACCCCTTGGTTGGATGAGAAACTTAGGACCTCATCACACTAGAGAATGAATCCACTTTAAATCTGGTTTCTGCCTCCTGCAGAATTCTGGGGTTTGTAGTTTAGGGAGGAGCCTTTAACAGCCTCACAAAACAACAAACCCCAGAATTCTGCAGGAGGCATAAACAGGATTTAATGTGGATTCATTCACTAGTGTGATTAAGTAATTAGAGTTCCTAGAACTGAGATCGTGAGCAGACTAATGAAAGGCAATAAATGCTGAAAGTTGGGAGGAGCTGTGTAGGATTTTGGAAGTTAAAACAAGAACCTTGTAATTCATTTTTTGTGGAGGGAATGGAAAACCATTGAAGAAATGTCAAAAGTGAGGTAACATGCTGAAAACAATAGGACAGAAAGATAATCTGAACAGCAGAATGTTGAATGGAAAATAGAGGACTATGGTGAGATAATGGAAGACAAGTCAAAAGAACATTACAATACTCAAGGTGGAAAATGATTAAGATATAGACTAAGGTCTTAGCAGAGGAAGCAGAAAGAAAGAGGCCATGTTATAAAGAAAAATATTTAAAAGCAATGCTGTGAGATGGGAAGTTGCTGCTAACTGTGAGAGAAATAAGGTTGAACACTGAAAGCCATCTACTGTATAGCTACCAGCCTCCTCCCAGTAGACTTAAATCAAGGAAAAGCTTCATGAAAACCACCACTCCTCTTAATGTTCCCCCAGCAACAGCAAGAGTATCCCTCTGGGCAGATAAACCAGGATTTTCCAATTGGATGCCCCCCCCCCCCCATGAGGGTCTCCCTCTAGGGCAACTTGAAAGTCCCTGAACAGAGTCAGAAGTGTAGTGGGCAGATCAAATGACAGTCTGGCAAAATGGCATTACCTAAAAGAATCCTCCACCTTGTGCGAGTGTGGAGGAGAACAGACAACTCCGCATCTGTAAGCTTGTCCACTATGCCCTGCCTCATGTACCGAGGAAGAATTGTTGGAGGCTACAGACAATGCGGTTGCCATTGCCTGTTTTTGGTCAAAAGATATTTAGCTTCTCGTGCTCCTTCTATTTTTATCAGTTTTATACCAATTTATGCAATGCTTTTCATACGAAATAAATAAATAAGCAACATGACTTTGCTACAACTTTAATGTGAAGAACAAAATAACAAAGAAGAATTAAAATCATGACTACATGTTCCTTTCACAGGAAAAATGAGTAATTATTAATTTTGATGGAGAATGTATGTTGCAAAGAAGGTCTGTGAGGAAAAATAGTTCTTTCCGCCATGCTAAGAATTAGGCAACATGCTAAGATAGCTGAAAGATGTACTGTAATGTGATGTCCAAGGTCAGGGGAGAGTTCTCTAGTGGAGAAATACAGCTTATTTTTTTCCACGTAAAAATTATAATGAAAGCTAAAAGACAACAAGATTGCTGACACTGTATAAAGAAAATCCAACAAAGAACCCTGTGGAACTTTAAGCAAAACGGAAAGGAAGAAGATAGGTTGCCAACTACCATATTAAATGACTAGTCTCACAAATAAGATGTGAACTAGCTGAGGACTGAATCAGTAAACCCTGTGTCATGAAGTGAATCCAATGAAAGAGTGCTGTTTGGCTCTGTCAAATGCTGCAGACAGATCGAGGAGCATAAGGACTGAATATAGGCCATTTTAATTGACCTGAAAGAGGTCATCTGCGATCTTCATAAGAGCTGTTTCTGTAGTGTGCAAAGATTGAAATCTAGATTGACACAGATCCATTACAGAAATATAAGAAACGAAATCTAGGTAATTCGAGAGGACTTTGGAGAGGCATGGCAACAGTGAGGTAGTGATAATGAGAGAAGATGGGTCAAGTGAAGGTGCCTTAGGATTTGGAGAAACTGCATTTTTAGGCTGAGAAGGGAATGCGACAGTAGAAAAGGACAGATCGGTACAGGTGGAATATCCCTTATCCGAAATGCTTGGTACCAGAAGTGTTTTGTTTTTTTTTTTATTTTGGAACAGCTGAATTTTCATATATTGTATATACTCTAGTATAAGCCGACCCAAATACAAGCCAAGCCACTTAATTTTACCACAAAAAAGTGGGAAAACGAATTGACTCTAGTATAAGCCGAGGGTGAG